GGCTCCCCCCTCCTGTCATGGGGTTGCAGAGCCAGAAGGAACCCCCTGAGCCTCCTTTTCTCCAGGCTGAGCCCCCCCAGCTCCCTCAGCTGTTCCAGCCCCTTCCCCAGCTCCGTTCCCTTCCCTGGACACGCTCCAGCCCCTCATATCCAGAAGGAAAACACACAGATTGGGGTATGGGGACAAAGGGGTTGATTTGCCAATTACAGTTTGGTTTGAAGGTGCCGTGTCTCCTGGCACACAGAGCTTTCCCAAAAGAATGGGATAAAGATGCACAGCTAAGCCTCAAGTTATTAAAAATACCGACCTACCAAAAGCCACCTGCAAGTAGCAGAGGCCTTCCTTCTCCAAATCCTTCCGTGGGCTTCCTGAAACACAATCAGCCACAACACCACCCTTACACACACCTACACACGGACTCTGTGCTCCGTCCTGCTCTTCCCAGTGCTTTGCACTTGCACTCAGCTGCCTGAAGGCCGGATCCTGATGTGCAGCTGAACACACACAAGCAGGGGAGGCATCTTTACCTGAGGATAAAATCTGTGTGTGGAGCAGAGAGGGCTCAGCCTGCCTCTTTCCCCTCGTCTCTGAAAGGTGTAGTTGTGTTTGTTATCGGCAGCAAATCTGCAGGTGTTTGCTTTCAGGGTGTGAGCAGGCAAAGCTTTCTTCAGTCCCCCACGTGAGACAAATAAGGAGACGGGGCACAGAGCAGTGCTTTCCCCTGGGATGGACACCTGGCCCAGTGTCAGCTTGACCATTTCACCAGACACGAGGGGGTGAGCAACAGGCCAGTGAAGTGTCACCTCCCCAGAGGCCTTTGGTGATGATGATGATGGTGATGTGTGTGTACGTGGCCTGGGGCCCTGAGGAGCCTTTCAAGGAGCACAGTTCATGTTCATCCTCCTCCTTCTGATTTTGTGCACTGCTGATAACTCCTGGGGATGAAAGTTGGCTCCATCTGTCTCCCATTCCACAGGGCACAGAACTCCTGACATCCAGACCTTCTTTGGTATGAGAGTCTGTCTTATCACAGCCTGAGGAGATACAGGCTCTCCTGAGTGTGGGGGTTCCTTCTGCCTCTCCTCAGAGTCCCCTGGATGCTGTAAAGCATCCAAACTGTAAAAGGTCAGTGTTTGCTGTTGTCTTTGGAGATCTGGATTTACAGAGACTCCTCCAGTGCAGGTCTGCCTGTGGGATCACTCACTGGCATCCACAGAAGCTTTTATAAATGTCTGTGGGATAAAACCACTCACTCTGTGGAATCCTCAGCTTTTCCAGAGGAGGAGAGGAGCAGCTTTTCCAGGGGAGGAGGCATGGAGGTACATTCAGAGGTACATAGCTGGAGAGGTACAGACATATATACTGTGCCTGTTCAGGTGCATCAATCCAACCTGCTTTGCTGCAAACCAGCTCTGCTTCATCCTAAAGAGGCAGAGCAGGTGCCCAAAGCGAAGCACAGCAGGCTCTTACCCTGAGGGTGCCTCAGGGGCTGGATTTTTCACGTGGAAAACTACACTTTCCTGTAGTTCTGTCATTTCCCACTGCTCCCTTTCTGTCTGTCTCTTTGCAGGTCTCACTTTGGTTTTAATTTAGTGTCACTGCTGTCAGCACAGGAGCTGGAGGTTTTAAATACAGAGCCTGTGCCCTGCATAGAGGAGTGAGAGTGCAGCCTTTTGGCTTGCCAG